GATTAAAGAGCCCAGGCTGATATGGTTCAGCTGGTTGCTCATGAACTGAAAGGTCGGGGTCGCCGGTTCTATTCCTGGTCAGGACATATGCCTACGTTGGAGGTTCAGTCCCCTGGGGCTTAGAGAAAGAGTTTCTCTCTCACATAGATGTCTCTCTGTTACAGAAAACAACTCAGCTGCTTTCGGGTGTACAGCATGGAACTTTATTTTCCACACGCGTAGACCCAGGGCAGTCAGGCTCCAAATTCTGGGCACTGGGCAGCAGGGGAGCAGTTATTTTTATAGAGCAAGGAAGGGCCTGTCCTTCAGACCCTTACTTCTGGTGAGAAAGCAGAAGGCAGTTACAGAAGCAGAAGAAGCAGAGCATTATCTCTGGCATGCATACAATAAGCAGTCGTCCAGAGACGCCAAAAGAAAGCAACTGGGCTGCAAAAACAAATCACTCTCTAGTCACTGTGTTGTGTCTTAAAATAACTATCAGTTTCCCCCAACATTCCCCCCTTCGATACGTAACAGCACTGTTAGCTGGTCTAGCATCACTATAAGGCTGGCCTATAAATCCTGGCATATCTTCTGATAATGATGTCTCTGGAGGGACAGGATCTTGGTGGTTGTTCTGCGAGTCACTGTGGCCTCTAGACTCTTGACTATGGTCCATAGTACACAGGGGCCAAAACTCAGGCCTAAGAAAATGATGATTAGGGGTCCCAAGAAGGGGAACAACCACTGGAGCCAGGCTTGAGGGTTTATTCCCCATTTCTCTAATTCTAACTTTCAGTTTCTTTGGTGCAGCAGTTTATATTCTCTCTGATTTCTTTAACTTTCTTTGCTATGATCTCTGACTGACTTACATAGTAGTAACATTTCTCTTTGGCTCGGTGTCCAAAGGCTAGCGTCACTGGACCATTGGCCTTCTGGTCAGGTCATATTCTGGAGGTGACAGATTAGGCAAGAAATTGGAAGCACAATTAAATCATAACTATTAAATGACAAAGGCAGGAACTTCAGTAAAGAGTGGCTTATCTGGAAGAAGGTGTACAAGGCAAGCTACACCTATCCAAGACTCTTGTGGCCCACTATACTTCACTCGGGCTGAGGGGAATACATTAGGATTTCCCTCCCTTTAGATTTCTGAGCCCTTTCTGTCCAAGCAATCAAGACAGAAAAGGGAAAATCAGTTCTAAAGTGAAGCCCACAGACTGCCCCAACCATTTATCAACCTAACTACTTAGTTCAATCAAATCATTGAGTCTCGGGGGGGGCGATGATGAAGATGGGCTCCTTAAGCGAGGCCTGTATTGTAACTAATCACTCATAGGTATCGGCAGGTCATAGGCATACGACGCCCTATGAAAACAGAAGAGCACACAGGTTAATTCACACAACAATCCCCAAACCAGTATCTGTGCCTGTGAGACTCCTTTGGGGTGACATTCCATTGCAAGGTCCTTTTTGTAATGACATTTAACAGTGGCAATTTGACAGGTCCTTTGTACCTGTGAATTGTACATCTTCAGTGATATCACAAACCTGGTTTCAACTCTTAAATGAACATAAACTTTTAAGACAGTTAGCTGCGCCACTCTGCTGTCCAATACTGAATATAATGATTTTCCTTGAACTATAATTTTTCTCCTTAAGATCACCCTCACTGTGATTACAGGGGCTACTTCAGGTCCCACTTTTGTTTTTACCGTTCATTTGCATAAACACACCAAGAGCAGCCTGGATCACTTCTGATCCTTAAGTCCGCTTTGCTGGAACTCACACAGGGAACCTTCAGATTGACTTCTCAGTCCGCCCCTCGGGGCACAGAAGTAGAGCCACACATCTGCCATCTGGCTTTGCCTGTACCAGTCATTTCACTCAAATCCTTGAGCCTCCATTGTGCCTACAGGTTCCTTTCTAGACATCTTTCAGGAAAGCAACCTTCGTTCCTTCCCTGGAAAGGCTGGCTGGAACCACACAACCAACCAAAGTACCAGGCTTTTCTTGTGGGCTTTCACTAGCTTCACAGGTCAATCCTAGTTCCTCTAAGCTTTCTGGTAACGACCAGAACCCATACATGCCTCCTTCAGGCTTGACATTCCAGTCAAAATCCTGGTTAACAAAACCACTATTAATGACTGCCTTATTGGTTTTATGCAAAGAAACCTTACGTCATCATTTATTTTTTCAGAATGCCAAATTCTGGAGGGATCAGGTAGGGAGAAAAACACAAAGCTTAAAGGAAAATCTTTCTCCTTCTAATACCCATCAAGGTGCATCTCCATCTTGATTTGTTCAGGGAAATTGATAGCTATTTTAAGACACAACGTCTCACCCTCTCTTTCTCCCTCCATTCCCCACTTTCTAAATGAAAAAATAAATAAATATATATATAGACACACACACACACACACACACACACACACACACACACCATGTCAAATCATGATAAAAAGTAGAGCATAGTAAATACATAAGCCAGGGACACTGTAATGTATTATCAAGGGACTTTGATTACTAGAGAGCAGGCCTGTCCACATGAACATCCCCATAAACAGGTGAGGAAAGAGCTGCCCTACGACCTTAAGACAGCTACAATGTCGTTAGGTAGTAGCACGTGTCAGCCCCTTCATCACCTGTGGGACGCCGTGACACATGCCATCCCTTGCTGACCGAGGCATCGTGCGGTGGCCTGCGACCACACCAAGGGGTGGAAGTACCGGGTCAGCCTCCAGCAGAAATAGCTCCCCTTCCCTGACCTGCAAAGAGACCGCACCGCCACGCTCCCACCAGCCACATGGGGGCGCTCCAGGCGCTCCACCACCAAACTGACGTTCATGATCTCAGACTTTATTGTCTTAACCATTTTGCTGAGCCTGTGGTGCTTCTCGTGTAGCGCATTAATTTGTATCTCCCTAACAACAAATAATGTTGGGTGGTTTGGGGTTTGTTTTGTAGTTGTTGTTTTTTAATGTGTGAGTATACTGGCCGTTGGTCTCCTGAGGCTATTGTATCGCTGAGTTGAAGGAATGTCACGGGTGCGGCGTCCCCCTGGCGGAGGAGGAAAGGCGAACTCAGCAATACTTCTCTGTCCCCAGGGCAGAAGGAGAAGTAGCAGGACTGGGGATTAGGATGCCTGGGATAGGGTAGGTGAGTCACTGGGTGTAGATGAAAACACAAAGCATCTTGCCCCAGAGTATCTGTTGCGGATTTGGACTCAGGGTAACTGATGCAGCTTTTGCAAACCACCTCTCCACACCCTCTTGCCCAGGGACAGAGAACCAGCTGGAGCCCAAGTTCCAGAAGAGGGGACACAGAGTAACTAACTGGGCAGCTGGCCCTTCTCCCGTGAGCCCCGAGGCATCTGTTTGCTCTTCCCTCTTCCCGCCCAGCCACTTCCCCATCCCCTCCATCCCTGCCATGGCCGGGAGGGTCTGTCACGAGGAGGACCCCTCCCTCGCCCCCTTCCAGCCTCCTGCATGGCCTGCGGGTCAGGCAGCCCCTCCTTTGCTCCCTGTCACTCATGGCTCCTCAAGCTAATGAGACCTGCCCTGATTCCCCAGCCAGGCTGCCGGCCTTAATCTCCCCGAGTGGGGGGTTGGGGGGAGGCCAAGGAAGAAAGGGCCCCTTATAGGGAGGGGCTGCACCCAGCCACAAGGTGGGATTCACAAGACCTCATGCACATATGTCTGTACATGCACATATGTCTGTACATGCATGTTTGTGGGGGGTAGAACGGACCTCCTTGGGGACCCGGAGGTCAGAGAGAGAGAGAGAGAGGAAAACAGGGAGCGGTGGAGATGAGCACAATCAGGACAGAAGGAGAGAGGCTGAAGACAGGGAGAAAGAAATGAAGAGGAAGTTGGAAAGAACGAGAATCCGAGCAGGAAGCAGGGCAAAGAGAAAGCAACAGGGAGAGAGAGTGGAGGTTAAGAGACTGGATGGAGGAGGGCGGGGGTGCTGAGGGCAGCCCAAGTCACAGGAACAGGCGGACAGACAAGGGGACAGGGACAGAGAGACCCAGTCACAGAGAGAGAATGAGACCCAGAGACCAAGAGAAACACGGGTAAATCCAATAAGACAGGGACAGAGGGGCACACTGGCCCTGGCTGGTGTGGCTCAGTGGACTGAGCACAGGCCTGCAACCCTGAGGGTGGCTGGTTCAATTCCCAGTCAGGGCACATGCCTGGGTTGCAGGCCAGGCTCCTGGCAGGGGACCGCAGGGGACCACAAGAGGCAACCACACATTGATGTTTCTCTCCCTCTCTCTCTCTCTTCTTTCCCCTCTCAAAAAATAAATAGGGATCTGAAATAAATAAATAAAAAGAGAGGGCACACTGTCAAATTGGCAGAGGTGGTGTCACCTGAGGCCCCAAAAAGAGAAACTGAGGCCCAGAGACCCCACCCAAAGACCAATGGCTTGGAGGGAGGGGGAGAGAGAGAGAACCCAAGTGGGAGAGAAGAGGGAGTGTGAGCAGCTGAGGCCCAAAGATGCAAGTGCAGGAAAGTCGGAGACGGGAGGAGTGGAGGTCAAGGTCGAGTCAGGGAAGCAGTGGGAAAGAGCAGAACAAGTGGACACAGACCAGAGCAGAGGGGAAGGCGTTGGCACTCAGGCTGTTGGGACGAGACAGGGGGACCCAGGGGTGGGACCCCGGAAGCCCTGCTTTCTCATTTTCCAAGTGACCTCCCAGGAACACCCAGTGCTTTCGCCTTCCTCTTTCATGAGACAGCAGCCAAAGCTGGAGGGACAGCAGGGCGACCTCAGGAAGAACTTCCCTGAGGGGTGGGGGCTCCTGGTCCCAGGCAGGAGAGAGGGCCTCCCTTCCCCATCCACCCTAATTGCCCAGATGGCCTGGTGGGGAGAGGAGAGGATTAGGCAGACGGTGCCGCTCCCCGTCCTGGCCAATGTCACCTCCCCTTGCCCAGTCCAGTCCCCCACCCGGGCCGGGATTACCCTCCGAGATCCAGGCCACACAGCAAATGACATCACTCCCAACCAGGGCTTAAAATCTCCCCCTGCAAGGGGACCCGCTTCCTTCAGCCTCTGCTCTCAGACAAGTCTGCCTGGGACGTGGGCCCCGTCCCCGCTTTCTGACGGTGAGTGTCCGCAGGAGCACCGGAGGGGACCCACGGGAGGGGGGCGAGAGGGGGACAGGAGTGGGCAGCAGTTAGGAGGTTCCTTCCACTCAAGATCCCCTTTTGTGTCCACACAAGGGCCGGTGTGCAGTGTGCAATGTTTGCAGAACAATCCTGCAGGGAACAGGGGCTCCATACTGATTTCGGGGACACTGCTGGGTTGTGATCACTGCAGGAGAGAAGGAGGGTAGGCGGGGCGACTGGCCCAGGGCAGGGGGACCCTGGAGGACTCAGGGACAGTGAGGCAAGGTCATCACTGCCGGAAACGGTCTCATCATTCGCACCCGGCTCCCCACAGACCCCTGATTTCCTCCGGTGCCTGCCCACCAGGTGGCCCGGGTGCCTAAATATTTGTTGACTGGACAGAAATAGAAGTGACAGGACACCCCCAGGGGGCCAGGTGTTGTGGCTGCAGCAGGAGGGAGGGGCGCCTCAGAGGTGCCCAGGGGGAATGGGAGCAGGGCAATTTGGGGATGGGGTTGCTGCTGAACTGGTTACACTGGTTACTCACTTCTTCCTGAGGCTACGGCTTTGCCCTTGTCCCAGTGGATGGAGCAGCCCCTGGGGCCACCCAGGTCTGACAGAGGGGGACCTTGAACGCGGGGAGTCTGGCCCAGGCTGATGTGCAGCCACATGAGCCTGCCCTTTCTCACTGTGCAGCCCTGGGCCCTTTGAGTGGCCTCTCTGGGCCTCAGTCTCCACATCTGCAAAGTGGGGACAACAACAAGTTGCCACAGTGATTCAGTCAGATGAGCCGTGGCAGGCTGGTGTCTCAGTCGGGGCCTGCTTTGAGGAATCCCAGGTAGATCTGAGGGTCAAGGGCAGGGCTCTGGGGCCTGAGGTGTCTGGGCTCTGCTCCTGGCTGGGTCACACACACCTGTGTGACCTCGAGAATTGACAGAACCACAGTCAGCCTCCATTTCCTCATCTGAGAAATGGACGTCTGAGCTCCAGGGAGGCAGTGGTCAGCGTCCCTAAGAGGCCGTGTTGCATGGTGACCGGGAGGACACAGGCCTGGGGCTCAGGGGCTGGCTGAGCCCTGGCTGTGCCACTGACATGGGACACAGGCCTGGGGACCCTCGTCTGGGAAGTGGGATGGGAACAGGAAGTTCTCACTGCACGACGGCTCCCCAAGACCTGGTTCCCGGGGCCCAGCCGGCAGTGTCTGAGCACCAGGGACTCCAGCTGGAGGTCACTCAGGGGATCCACTGCCTGACCTGGGGCGGGCACCTTCCTCCCCGCCCTGAACCTCAGTCTCCCTGCCTATAGAATGGGCTTATCTCCATGAATACCAGCCGGGTGGGCGTGAGCCTTCAGGCCTCACCTGTTGAAGCACCTGCCCAGCCAGAAACCCGGCCCCCCCGGGCTGCTGAACCCCAGGAGTCCTGAGCACCCCACAGGCTGGCCCCCAGGGCAGGGACAGCGGTCTCCACTCCCCCGTACTGTTCGGGACCTTGCAGCTCCATTTCCCTGGCAGGGCGTTCACAGGGTCAGGCTCGTCGTAAATTCCCCATGAGAGGTCAACGCTGCTATTTTCTGTGCTCAGCAGACCAGACTCACAAAACGCTTTCGGCAGAGTATCTGCCGCAGGGACGAGTCCTGAGGTTCTGGTACCATTAGCTGCCTCATCTTTAAAAAAGAAAATTATTTTATTGACCTTAGAGAGAGGAAGGGTGACCGAGAGTGGACCGCCGACTTGCTGTCCCACTTATTGATGTACTCACGGGTTGACTCTTGTGTGTACCCTGACCAGGGATTGAACCCACAACCATAGCAGATCAGGACGCTGCTCCAGCCAAACGAGCTACGCAGCCAGGGCTCAGCAGCCTCCTCTTGTCGCCAAACCCAGGCACAGTTTAACCTGGGTGCTCACTATTACTTCTGTTATTTTTCTTTGCCCTTGTCTAGTCGGCTCTTACCAGAGGCCTCCATCCTCCAGGTCATTATCACTATCAGCTGCTTTATCTGGCACCGGCTGGTTGCTCCCTGAAGCTCAGATTCCCCACCCATAGGTTGGAACCATTGGGGGTTGGGGGGCGAGTTCCAGGCTCTGAGGAAGGCCAGCAGCTTGGCAGGACCACCTGGGGCAGATCCCCCGACGCAGACTCCTGATCTGGCCCCCGCAAATGGCCCTGAGCAGTAAATAGTTTCAGATCCTCCACTTCCACTCTCTCCAGAGGTTCTGATGGGACATCGCCACCCCCTGGAGAAGAAAGAGAGAACCTGGGGAAGCCCAGCTGGGGGCTGGGAGACATTGGCCATTCAGGGGCATTCAGGGTCGGAATCGCCAGTCTCCACCCACAGCCTGTGTGGACCCCGGGCAAGTCACGGCGCCCGAGGCTGAGGGTGTTCTCATCTGCAGAGTGAGAGGGTCACAGCACTCTGGCCCCTACCTGCCTGGGCTGTGCACAGGACCCAGTGACGCCCTGCACCTGGAAGGCCTGGGTAGGGGTTTTCTACGGCTGGGTAGCAAAGCAAGGGCAGTAAATGTTCACAATGTCGTACCGTTTCCCAGGGATGGGAATCCAGGAGCAGCGTGACTACATGATCCTGGCCGGGTTGTCTCACGCCACCCTGCCCAGAAGTCCACCAGGGCCACTGTCATTGGGGGGCTTGACTAGGGGAGCTCATGCCCATGGCTGTTGGCTGGAGGCCTCCTTTCCTGGCCACATAGGCCTGTCCACGGGTCAGCTGGGGCGTCCGCCAGCTGGAGAGCCAGCCTTGGGGGTCACATCATCATCTGTGACATCCTGTGGGTTGTACCAGTCAGCCCTGCTCAGTGGGAAGGACCATTCAAGGGTGTGAAGACCGTTATTGGGCGCCACCGAGGACACCAATAGATTCTCCCGATCTAATGCTGGTTTTGCTTTTTTTATTTTCACCAGCACAGAGCCTCCCTGTTGCTGCCCTATCAGGTCCTACGAAATCTTACTCCACTTTTCCCCCATGTTCCCACGTCCCAGTCACAGTGGACACCTTGTTGTTCCTCCAGCAAGAGAAAAAAAACACTCCAGCCCTGCTGGTGTGGCTGCGTGGACTGAGAGCTGACCTCTGAATCAAAGGGTTTTTGGTTCGATTCCCAGTCAGGGCACAGGCCTGGGTTGCAGGCCAGGTCCCCAGTAGGGGGTGCACGAGAGGCAGCCACACATCGATGTGTCTCCCCCTCTCTTTCTCCCTTTCTTCCCCTCTCTCTGAAACCTCTCTCTTCCTCTCTCTTTCTAAAAGCAATGGGGAAAAAAGTCCTCAAATGAGGATTAAAAAAAAGTTCTCCAAACTAAAAACAAGGTATGGGCAGAGCACACCTCCCAGGGGCAGCCACTTTTTACCCTCCAATGTTCTTGCTGGCAATTGTTCATACATGCAGTTGCATGTACATGCATCATACAAACACACGCATGTCCATGCCTGCATCTGTTGGTCTAATCATTCCCACACACACAAACCCACTCATCCACCCAATAGCTACCACCTACAACCTCATATGTCAAAAATGCACTTGGAGGTCATCGTTCGGACTTCTGTAGTTTGTTTCAAACTTCACTTGAGGAAATGCTGATTGACTTTAGAGAGAGGGAGAGGGAGGGAGAGAAATATCGGTGCGAGAGAGAAACATCCATGGGTTGCCTCCCCCATGTGTGCAGACGGGGGACTGAACCTGTAACCTTGGCCTGTGCCCTGACTGGGGACCAAGCCCTGGAGCTTTCAGTTAATGGGTGGATGCTCCAACCAACTAAGCCACACTGGCCAGGTTCACTTGGACGCTTTAATGTGACGTTTCCTTAGGGCAGGGGTGTCAAACTCATGTTCATGGGGGGCCATATCAGCCTCGAGTTTGCCTTCAAAGGGCCGAATGTAACGTTAGGACTGTAAATGTACCTACTCCTTAACTGTTAAGGAGTCGAAATTACATTCGGCCCTTTGAATGCAACCACGAGGCTGATGTGGCCCCGGATGAAAATGACTTTGACACCCCTGCCTTCGGGTCATCGACCAGCCCAGGTCGCCTGGGACTCTCCCAGGCTTGGCCCTGAAACCCCGCATCCTTAGAAACCCGCTCCGACCCAGCCCGGCCGGGTCAGCTGGCCAGCCTGGGCTCCGTGTTTCTGCATGAGGCTGTCTTCTCCGGGGTCAGAGAAGAAAAGGTTTTGGAGAGGGAAGTAACAGGATTGGATTTTTAATTTTTAATCCTCACCTGAGGATAGGTTAGGGTTTTTTATAGAGAAAGAGGAAATGAGAGCCAAAAAGAAACATCGATCAGTTGCTCCCCATAAGCGCCCCAAACAGCGATAGAACACGGAGCCTAGGTTCTGTGCCCTGAGCGGGGAACATACACTCCAGCCTTCGGTGCAGGAGCCATTCAGCCAGGGAACAGTCAGGGCTTTCAAAGGACGAGGCAGGGAGAAGAGCTGTCCCTTACAGTGTCCATGACAGCTTCAGCTCTGCTTGACAGAGTCTTGGTGCAGCCTGGAGGACCCTGAGCCGAGGGCTAGTTTGGGGAAACTGAGGCACCGAGGCCCAAGGCCACGTATCTTCGAAGAGACTGAGGCAGGCTGTTGGAACCTAAGCCTTCCTGTCCCCGCGAGGCAGCCGGGGGGTGTCTGAGCCCTGTCCACTCTTCTCTTGCAGGCCCCACTGGCCTGGGCCCGGGCCTCCCCGACGAACATGATGGCGTACATGAACCCGGGGCCTCACTACTCCGTCAGCGCCTTGGCCCTGAGCGGTCCCGGCGTGGATCTGATTCACCAGGCTGTGCCCTACCCGAGTGAGTAACAGCCCTTCTCCCCGCCGCCCCAGCTGGCCCCCACCTCCGGGGGTCCCTGGTCCTCAGGAAGAGGATGGGCACTTACAGGGGTGACATCAGGGCCACACACAAATGCAAAACACCACTCCTGGTCACGGGCAGAAAAGCACAGGGACTTTCTTGGAAACTAGGATGGAGGTGACTTGGGAGCAGGGAGAGCAATCTGGAAGAGGGACCTGGAGACATTCCCATCTGTCAGCAACCCTGTATTTCTAAGAAAAGTGAGCGCTCCGGGTTTTGTTTTGTTTTTTGGTTTTTTGGTTTTTTGTTTTTTTTTTTTAGCATGGCATTATTTTTTAGCTTATTTTTTCATTACTTGGAACATTATGGACCTGCCACTTTGATAGGCTAGAAATGGTTGAAAGTCCACAATTCCTTCAGTGCCTAAAGACATTTTAAAAAGGTGCAAAAAACAAATCCCTCTACCTCCTTACAGGGCTCCCCGGGGTGTGGGGTGAGCCCCAGAATGACAGGCAAAGAGGGGCCCATTTCCAAGGGGTGGAGCGGAGCCTCAAGGTCAGGGCAGATGAACACCCCTCTGGGGGCCTCACACCAGCTGCAGGGGAGCATGGGAGGCCGGGGTCATCTGCAGTCCCATTGTCCTGTCCCCCACCCAGGCGCCCCGAGGAAGCAGCGGCGGGAGCGGACCACCTTCACCCGCAGCCAGCTGGAGGAGCTGGAGGCGCTGTTTGCCAAGACCCAGTACCCGGATGTGTATGCCCGTGAGGAAGTGGCTCTGAAGATCAACCTGCCGGAGTCCAGGGTTCAGGTGCGATGTTCTGGTCCCTGGGCCCCTCCCAGCCCTTCCTGAGACCCAGAGCCGTGGGAGGAAGGAGGGGTCCCAGAGGGAAGAGCCACCATCAGAAAGAACCCTAAAAAAAAATTCCTCATTGGCCTTATCTCTTACCACTCCCACACTTCCCACTGTCCCCCCTTGCCAGCTGCCCCACCCCTCACCATTCTTCCTCTAGCATGCCTGCCAAGCACACTCCTGCCTCAGGGCCTTTGCACTCTCTGTTCCCTCTACCTGGAAGGTTTATTCCCCATCACGCTGTTCAAGACCTCTACCAATCAATCAAGTCACCTTGTCAGTCAATGAGATTTAGACCAACGGTCGAATTTAAAGTTGCAATTTGGCCCTGACTGGCATGCTCAGTTGGTTGAGTGTCAACCCCCAAAGCAAAAGTTCACCAGTTTGATTTCTGGTCAGGACACATGCCTGGGCTGCCAGCCAGTCCCCAGTTGGGAACCCGTGCAACACATCATCGTCCCTGCCTTCCCCTCTCACAATCACAATCAATGCTTCTCTCCCTCTCTCCCCTCTGTCCCCTGCCTTCCTCTCTCTCCAAAAATAAATAATAAGAATCGTTCAAGTTGCCATCTTTCTCCACACCCCCACTCTACTGTTCCCCCTTATCCTATTCAGCTGGGTCTTCTATAATATTTGTCACTTTCTAAGATACTATGTGATTTACTTGCTTACTGTTTATTTATAATCAGTCTCCTCCACTAGAATGTCAGCATCACTGATGGAGAAGACAGTCAATGCATGTTCATTGACTGATCGAGTGAATGCATGTATGTGTGCATGTGTGTTTGTATGATTGCATGTATGTACACATGATTGGGTGGAAATGTATGATTGTGTGTACATACTGGATAAGTGTATTTATGTGTATATGAATGATTAGATGGATGGATGATGGATGGATAAGTGGATGGATGGATGGATGGATGGATGGATGGATGGATGGATGGAAAAGTAGATGGATGGAAGGATGGATGGATAAGTAGATGGATGGATGGGTGGATGGAAGGATGGATGGATGGATGGATGGATGGATGAATGGATGGATGGATGGATGGATGGATGGATGGATGGATGGATGGATAAGTAGATGGAAGGATGGATGGATGGAAGGAAGGAAGGAAGGAAGGAAGGAAGGAAGGAAGGAAGGAAGGAAGGAAGGAAGGACGGATGCATGCATGCATGCAAGGAAGGATGGACAGATGGATGGACTGCCCATAACTGACTGCAAAGTGGAGAGGTGTGACTCTGGTGTGTCTCACCATTAAGCAGCATCCTTCCGGAGCACCGTAAGGGCTCTCCTGCTCATCATCCCCACTCACCCACCTGCTCTCTCCTCTCGCCCCCACCCAGGTGTGGTTCAAGAACCGCAGAGCTAAATGTAGGCAGCAGCGACAGCAGCAGAAACAGCAGCAGCAGCCCCCAGGGGCACAAGCCAAGGCCCGTCCTGCTAAGAGGAAGGCAGGCACATCCCCAAGGCCCTCCACTGACATCTGTCCAGACCCCCTGGGCATCTCAGATTCCTACAGCCCCCCTCTGCCTGGCCCCTCGGGCTCTCCCACCACAGCAGTGGCCACTGTGTCCATTTGGAGTCCAGCCTCAGAGTCCCCTTTGCCTGAGGCCCAGAGGGCTGGGCTAGTGGCCTCCGGGCCTTCTCTGACCTCGGCACCCTATGCCATGACCTACGCCCCAGCCTCTGCTTTCTGCTCTTCCCCCTCAGCCTATGGGTCTCCCAGCTCCTTCTTCAGTGGCCTGGATCCCTACCTGTCTCCCATGGTGCCCCAGCTGGGGGGCCCGGCTCTCAGCCCCCTTTCAGGCACCTCTGTAGGCCCCTCCCTGGCCCAGTCCCCCACCTCCCTGTCAGGCCAGAGCTACGGCGCCTACAGCCCAGTGGACAGCTTGGAATTCAAGGACCCCACAGGCACCTGGAAGTTCGCCTACAACCCCATGGACCCTCTGGACTACAAGGATCAGAGTGCCTGGAAGTTTCAGATCTTGTAGAAGCGGCTCATCTGCATCTCCCTCCATCTCTTGTTGAGATCTGCCTCCCTCAAGCTTCGGACTGCAGCTCTGAGAAAGCAGCAGGAGCAGCCATGCTGCCAAAGGCTGTTCTACTTCCTAAGCAGATTAAGTCCACACAGTCCGCCCTTCTCCTCCCTGAGGCAGAGGCCCCTCCAGATCCAGGGGGAGAGCAGCTCAGTGCTTCCCTCAATCCAGCATTCCATCTCATACCCATTTCAACTGTCATTTTAATCCAGGCTGGGGCTGAGAACTTGCCCCGATATGCAATGAAACCAAGCTTCCTGTTGACTTGGGGGTAACATTTAGGTCAGAATGGAGATGCCATTGAACAAACAAGTAGAAAGGCTTAATTCCTTAACTTTCTACGTGACCCACTTCTTTAGCATGTGGCCAGAGATCCTTCTAGAACTTCCAAAGACAGACTTTAAGAGGCCCCATCATGGAAACTTAGGCCAGTTGTACAGTTAAATCAAGAACATTTACTCAGCAATGTGAGCAGACGTCACAAATGCCAGGTGTGCACGGTAGGTTTAGGGGGCTGTTTGCTATGTATCTGAGCATCTATTTCTTCTTAGTTTCTCCTTAAAGAGACTTCATCATTCAACCATTCACTCATTTGGACATTGGGCAAGGACACAGTGGGTAGAATGGAAGGCAGGTTGTCTGTTCCACGCCTGTTGGTTTTTCCTTTTGTTTGAGGCTGTTCTAAAATGAAGGTTACCCAGACCTTGGAGGAATTTTGGTATATAGCATAGCAGCTATAGCTGTGGGTGTTTCAAAGAGAAGAGGAGGTAGACAGGCTTCCCACCTATAAATACACAAAAGCCAGTGGGGGGGGCGAATTTGGAGGAAGGCCTTCATTTCAAACAGACAACCTGGCTTTCAGATTTTTGTTGGCGGTTTCGGTGTTGGCGGGGTCAGAACACAGTGCCTGGCCCTAGGACGCTTTCCTGGGGCAGCACCATGTTACTTTCAATACAGTTTGACTCACAGCCACAGAGACGGCACGGTGAGGATTTTAGGAAGGAGTCGGGCATTGGGAAGCTCCTGGGAGTTTGATGCTTTGGCTTCTGCCTCCTCAGCCTGGCTTCTCCTTTCATTTTTGGCTTGGAGGAGTTTTACTCATGGGTGTCACGAGGCTTGAGGTGAAAAGAATGAGGAGGGAAGGTGGTGGGAATCTGGTAGATGGTTAGCAACTGGCTCCCCAGGAAGAGGAAGGGCCCTGATTTGTGGTGCTTGCCAATTACCATGGTGTAAATACTCCCGCTAAGGCTGAGTTCACCAAATTCAGGGTTGGGAAGAGATGCATGTAATCAGGACTCATGAAGGGGTAGGAGCTGGCTCCAGGTCCCCAGAGCAGGAAGGGGTACCCGGACGAAGCCACAGTGTGAAGAGAGACTGGGCGGCATCAGGCGATTTTTCTTGGTTTGGGCCAAGAGAGGTCCCCCACATCCTGAACACAGTGTGATAACTAGATCCCACAGAGGTGGTTTGCTTAACATGCCACTTGGTCATCTCCTGTGGGCCTGAGTCATGCTTGACCCTGTGACCTTAAACCTGGGACAGGTGCAGAGTCCAGAGTGGGCCACTGATAAAGAGGAGGATGGCGCATGTTGGGGTGCAGGTTGGGGGTGAGAGGTCCAGACAAGATTCACAGGAGAGGGACAGGCAGAGATGACATGGTGCTCTGGGTTGGGACCAGAATGTGTGGTTTAGTTATTCATGCAGTAGACACTCCCACACTCTGTGGGGAGGCTGGGGTGCAAAGGAGAGTTCCCCATCCACGGCGGAGGGCGTGTCTGTGCAAGCAAGTCAGAGGCAGCTGGATGAGGGGGTTCAGGGAGGGTTTGGTGGAAGGAGCAACTACTGGAAGGCAGTAGAGCCCGAGACCCCCTATCTCAGAGTCTCCCGACTTCTCAAGGAGTAGAATCTGCTCAGGAGCTTGCTGGGCTAACCAGAGGGTCAAAGGGTCCACTTCCCAAAGCCAAGAAGAGTGACAAGGGAAGTGGGAACAGCAGGAAGGGGCCACCGTCCCCTGTCCTCCCCCTTCCCCACTCCCTGGAACTCCTGGTGTCCCTTCCCTGGCCCTTCTCAGAGTGAAAATGATTAAAATGTTGAATCCCACTTAAAGTCTGGGTGATTTATTTGTATTTCCACAGAAGGGCAGACTGGAAGGGTGGACACAGAAATCATTCTGTCCCATCCCGCCCCCACCGCCTTCTATCTCTGGGAGCATGGGCCCCGCCACATGCTTCCTTCATTTGGTCACTGTCTTTTCCTCCTGAAAGCCAGCAAAGCAGGGACATGAGCTCAGACGGCCAGCCTCCATGCAAAGTGGCCTTGCTGGGTGCCCCAGACCTTCTGGCTCAGGGGCCCGCTCAAGGATGAAGCCGTCCTCATGGATCTCTGTGGCTTCACTCCCCCACCCTTCCTCCTTCCATCCCTTGTCCCTGAATCACTTTCATTTCCCACCATTTCTCTCCCATCTCTTCCTTTCTCTAACTTCCTCTCTCTGGACTGTCTCTCAGCCCCTGTTTCTTTTTGCTCTATTTTTTTTTGCCTTCTTCCTTCTTTTTTCTTTTGCCTCCAACTTTCTGCGCCTCAGCCTCTAAGTCACCTTTCTCTGCTTCTGTTCCTCTTGATTGTTGAGTCCCAAGGGGGTTGAACGCAGGGCTGATGGGGGCAGATACACTTGCTGTCTCAGTCTGGTACAGCCATGCTGGTCACGTGAGCTCAGCAGATTCATGCTGCCCAGCCTCAGTTTCCCACGTGGGGCATCAGGAAGACCTACCTGGAGAGAATTAAGTAAGATTATTATATATTTTTTAATGAAAAAGAAACATGTATTATAGATAATACAAGAAACATTATACACAGGACAATGACATGTCAGTCCTCTTCAAAGTGGGTACACCTTGGGGCCTCACTCAAGTCCCCGATCTTTGTTGATTGTAGCTGACTCATGTTCCAACTCATGTTCTTCTTCCACATCCCTGTTTCCTTCTCTCTCTCAATTCCTATCTCTAAGATCAATAGACATGCCCTTAGGTGAGGATTAAAACCCCCCAAAAGCAACTAACTGACAAACATGGGTGGAGACCACAGTCAGGGAAAGGCTCCAAGTTCCAAGCGGTCCCTACTGTGTGATCCCATATATGTGACCTTCCAGAAAAGGGGGTGTCATAGAGGCAAGAAGCCTACATGGGTTGCTAGGAGCCGGGGTCAGCAGGCAGGACTCACCTCAAGGGCAATTCACAGGACTAGAAATGTTCTCTGTCTTGATTATGATGCAGTTCCATGGCTGTCTACGAGCACCCACACTGTACACTTCAAATGGGTTCGTTTTACAGTACATGTATTTCGCCTCCATACATCAGCTAGAAAAGAAAAAAAAGACAAATTGACTGAGCATGTACCACTGACCAGGCAACGGTGAAAGTCGATCCTAAAGCTTTGATTCTCAGAACAACCCAGCAGACACATGCTGTTATGCTCAGGAAGCTGTTATTATCATCCCCATGTGCCAGATGAAAGCCCAAGGCAGGGAGGTCAGGGCACCTGCCTGTGTGTCCTGTCAGGATGCCCCGGCTGCGATTCCCCCCTGGCATTTCCCCCTCCCCCCATTTTTGGTCCCATCTTTCACATGTGCAGCTTTCCTTCTCAGTTCCCTCCTTCCATCGGCAAGTGCTCAGGCTGGCCGAAAACTCTGTCTGCTTTTCCCAGTAAAATTAAAAGACACATTTTTTTTTCATTTTCACCAATAACTCTATTGACTGGGATATCTTGAGGGTGTCAGCTATCGCCCATGAGGTGTAACATTCGTGGTTCTCAATAAATGTGTCAATGGCATCACCACCAACTTCAGTGGGTCTACCCGCTGACGGGAGCGCTGTCCGGCGAGGGGTCTCAGGCACAAGACGTCACAGACCACTGTTGACACGTTTGATTGTCCACAGCACCTTCTCCACACAATGCACTGGCCTTCGTGTGTGAGTTTCAGCTGCATTTTTCCCTTCCTCAAAATAAGGAAGTATAATACGCCAAAAATGTTGTTTCTGCCCTGGCTGGCATAGCTCAGTGGATTAAGCATGGGCCTGTGAAGCAAAGGGTTGCTGGTTCTATTCCCAGTCAGGGCACATGCCTGGGTTGCAGGCCAGTTCCCAGCAGGGAACACACGAGAGGCAACCATGCATCGATATTTCTCTCTCTCTCTCTCCTTTCCTTCCCCTCTAAAGATAAATAAAACAAAAATATTTTTAAATGTTGTTTCTTTTCTTCCACCTTCAATGTTAAAATGGCTACACAAAAATTCACCGGTTTAAACAAGTTTTTCTGAAATGCAGGCCGCCATGGACAGCTGCCATGGTACAATATAACAAAATTGCTTCAGAGAAGAGTTAAAGGCAAGGAAGCATCGTTAGACCATCTTCTGCAAAAGACACGCAACGAACTTTGTGGCCCTGCCAACATTTCTCTGCTCTCTTCCCCTCTCTCCATCTCTCCCTCTGCCCTCTTGTCTTCATCCTCCCTCCTGTCCCTCTCAATCTCCCGGCCCCTCCCGCTCTTCCCTCTGTCCCCGAACAGGACTAATTTAGCAAATGCTCCAATCCTCTTACCCAGACGGCCCAGCCTCAGCAGAAGGGCAGGGGAATTAGCAGGGATTAGATTCAGACTCCTGACCCACAGGGGAGGGGACTTCCAGGGGACATCTGAGTTCTCACTAGGGGGTGCCATCCCCACTCCTGTCCCCTCTGTGTGAGATCATGCCGGGGACACACAATGACAATCAAATCTCAGCTGAACTCCAGCAGGCCCTCACTTACCCCGTGCCCAGCTAAGAGGGCTAAGCACTCTGAGCATGTCCCTTGTGATTTTTCCCTCTTTGAGGTAGGGGCCATCTCCCCATCTGCTATTTTATGGATTAGGAGGGGCTCAGTGACTTTCCCAAGACTAAACAGAATCCAACCCCCACTTTCGCAGGTGTCTCAGGTGACAAATAAGGAAACGGAGGCTGGGAGATGAGAATGGGTGACGCTGGGAGGGCACACAGCCTGGAGGGCAACTCCAGTTTGGTGACTTCAGAAACAAAGCTTGCAACCCTGGCCAGGCAGCTCAGTGGGTTGGAACATCATCCCGTGCACCAAAAGGTTTGGGGTTTGATCCTCGGTCAGGGCACAGGCAGGAAGCAAATGACTGATGTTTCTCTCTCTCTCAAATCAATAATTTTTTTAAAAAGCATATGCTCAGATAAAGATTAATGATAATAAAAAGATGAGGCTTTCAGCGCCCTCAAAATAGAGAAGAGATGAGAGAATGAGGGAAACTAGACCAAGTGGAAAACAGAGGGCAAACCATATTCTAAGAAGGAAGAACAAGACCAGGCAGGGAAAGAGCAGACCAAGGGCAGGACAGCAGGCTGTGGGAGGCAGTGTTTCCTCCTTAAGTATGTGACAGAATTCTCCTGTTACAGAAAACAACTCAGCCGCTTTCGGATGTACAGAGTGGAAGTTTATTTTACTCGCGGACCCAGAGGAGTCAGTCTCCAAATTCTGGGCCCTGAGCAGCAGGGGAGCAGTAATTTTTATAGAGCAAGGGAGGGCCTGTCCTTCGGGCCCTTACTTCTGGCGCGAAAGCAGGAGGCAGTTACAGAAGCAGAAGAAGCAGAGCGTTATCTCTGGCATGCAGATGATAAGCAGTGGTCCAGAGAAGCCAAAAGAAAACAACTGGGCTGCAAAAACCAATCACTCTCTAGACACTGTGCTGTGTCTTAAAATAGCTATCAATTTCCTTCAACAAGCCAATGAGGCATCAGGGCCCAGAGCAGTTTGTAGCCAGGCTAATTATGTATTAAATTGATTGACCAGATATAC